GCGTTATAAGGCGTGTGTCTAGAGTGGAAGCAGCCACCTTGCTTGCAGTAGTACGTAATAGGGTGTGCGTCCCCAATGAGAGCGGTCGCTGTGCAGCAGCGACCTTATAATAGAACTCCTTGAAGGGGTTAATGACCAGGGTTAGGAAAGGTTTAGGGGTTGAAATGGTAAAAAGGGAGCATCGATAGCGCATTTCCACTGACTTTTAGGTTTAATTTCTGTGGAAAACTTAATTGATAGGATTAAAGGAACTTAAGGTAGTGCGAGGAGCATTGAGCAGTACCCAAAGTTTTGAATGGAGTTCCATGGTTTATACCGAGTGCAATTGCGACTTAAATCGCTGTGAAAATAGATGGGGTAAGCTAGTCATTGGATTCTGGATGATTTCTGAGCTGAAGTTGCTTATCAGCTGGGTGTTATTATTACTTCATAATTACTTATCAAATTTAATTAAGCAATTTATTTTATAGACGCGTGTTGTCTATGTAAACGTTAATAACGTACTTAAGTTTATACATGTTAAGTACCTAGACGATGAATCTAAGGAATATAGTCTATACGTGGCCCAGGATCGCAGGTGGGAGGAAAAGAGAAGAGGGGCTGCCGGCGTTAGTGACGTCAGCGGAGGCAGCCTCACGCTGGCACTTACGTCGGGGCCTGACAGAAAATTAGGGACTAGAGCCGTTTGCGGAGGCGTGCTCACGCTACTGATGACCCTAGAATCACAGGTGGGAGGAAAAGAGAAGAGGGGCTGCCGGCGTAAGTGACGTCAGCGAAGGCAGCCTCACGCTGGCACTTACGTCGGGGCCCGACAGAAAGTTGGGGATTAGAGCCGTTTGCGGAGGCGTGCTCATGCTACTGATGACCCTAGAATCACAGGTGGGAGGAAAAGAGAAGAGGGGCTGCCGGCGTAAGTGACGTCAGCGGAGGCGGCCTCGCGCTGGCACTTACGTCGGGGCCTGACAGAAAGTTGGGGACTAGGTCCGTTTGCGGAGGCATGCTCGCGCTACTGATGACCCTAGGATCACGTGTGGAAGGAAAAGAGAAGAGAGGAGAGCTATCGGCGCTAGTGACATCAGCGAAGGCGGCCTCACGCTGGAACTTGCGTCGGGGCCTGAAGAAAGTTGGGGCTAGAGCTGATTGCGGAGGCATGCTCGCGCTACTGATGGCCCTAGGATCACAGGTAGAAGGAAAAGAGAAGAGAGAAGGGGCTGCCGGCGTTGGTGACATCAGCGGAGGCAGCCTCACGCTGGAACTTGCTTCAGGGCCTGAACAAACCTGGTTAACCTGCAAGCGGCATGAAGGAAGACTCCGCTTGTTCAGTGGTGACCTGTTGGTGACGCAAGTAATACTGTTTCCGGGTCCAAGCCGCCACTCATTTGAGTTGAGAAATTTATTAGTTTATGATCACTTTAAATTCTTATCACACAATAAAGTTAATTTTATACAAAATCAGTGTACACAAGCATTGCTTGCTGCATAACAATTACCAAAAAACAATAAGCAATTTATAAAAAATAATCACTTTCTGCCCGTCAGATATAAGGTGTGGACGTATGTATAGGGTATATGCTGAGCTACTGCTGTTCCCATGCTGATACACTTTCGGTGACCTGTTATTGTGAACTTTTTCCGTTTTGTACGGTTCCTTATACAGCATCGATGTTGTAATGTCATTAAAATACATTCAGTTAAATAAACTTTAGCATTTATTTGGTTGCTCAAGTGTAAAATGAGACAGAAGCTGTTTACTCGCACGCGGTCGTCAGAATCGGCAGGCTAACGCATAAGCTCCATTAAACATACTGGGGTAAAATAAATGCTCATATTATAAAGATATGGCGATATCACTCAGCTAGTGAAGATCGCTCATTTTTAAAGAAAATAGACCTTAAACGCACTGGCTTTGCATTGGCATTCAATTCGCCGGAAGTGCTTAGCCCAGGTTACAGGGAAATTAAGAGTCCTATTAGCATGCTTCGGCATATACCCCATAGTGATAATGATTTCGAAAGTAATAAATTGCTTTGTAAACATTATAATTAACATTTCATGAGTCTCCCCATGCAGTAAGTTGAGAAATTATTTGTTTATGATCAATTTTAAACATATTACACGATAAGAGTCATGTTGTACACAACCATTTTTGGGCTTGCTGCATAACGAATACCAAACATTTTTAACAATTTATAAAGTTAATCATTTGCATCATGTATGAGGCATAGACATATATATTGTGATCATGATTTTCGAAAGTAATAAATCGCTTTGTAAACGTTATAATTACCCTTTCATGGGTCTCCCCATGCAGTTGAATAGAGCGCTTGGACCCGGAAGCCGCTTCGCGTGACGTCACACTCACGAGCGGACTGGCTTGTTATTCCTAAATTTGGCGCGCCGAGAGCAGCAATTGCGGGCGTTACTAAGTGGAAATGTTCCGTGCGTGGGGGGTGGATGAGACCGTAGCGGAGACGTGCTCACGCTGTCATGGCGAATTGGCCGATGGTGGCGCTTCGCCTGTAGAGCGGTGGCCTGGCACTCGCTTGATCTGGGCCGGTGGTTTCCAACTGGGGAGCGGCTCAGGTTTGTTGCCGGTGTCTGAAAGAGCGGCGGTGTGGCGGGCCTAAGTTAAGATCGCGGACTCTGTTGATATGCTCTGCCGAGTGCTGATGCGCTGGACGTCGGCTTGGAGTTTGCAAGAGGAGCCGTGTCATCCTCATGGAAATTTGCTGTTTGGACGAGGCTACAGCGATTGGATGTGCCAATGCTAAAGTCGTGAGATGCTGCAGGTAAGACAGCTTTGGTATATATATAGGCGTTGCTCAGAAACTGATTTGATGATGGGATAATTGTCAATGACGTATTCGATACTGAAACTTCTGCGCATGCTCCTCCCGAAATTTGTTTACAAACATCACATAGCATATAGCGTATGCTCAGAAAAATAAGTGTGTGCGCAGTATCCAGATAAAATGTTGAATCAGAAAGGCTTTAAAGCACATGCAACATGAAAAGCTCCAATAAAGAGAGACAAAGCATTCATGTGTATTTTGTATGCAAAATGATGCGCTTTGAAATAATATGAAACACCATTGAACTCCAGCAAGATAAAGTAAACTCCACTGAGAAATACTATATGTAAAGTATAATTAATAAAAATTAGATCTTGGAGCGAGTTTCATCATGTTACTGTGGTAACCGAATGCGACTCGCTGTTTGCTGGGCTGGGGCAATCACACATAGAGTGGAGGAACTATGACGTCAATTTGTATGCAAAAACCCGAAAGAGAGTTAGCATTTTAGCACTTCCGGTTCCCTCGTCCCAAAGTCAATGGGTTTTTTGAATGGGGTTTCAGTAAAATTGCTTAAATAAGGTCCGTGGCAAACACAAATTCAAGATATTTTCACGTTTTGTTCTACGACATAAAACACATCAGTTACAGCACACTTTTGGATTTTTAATTCGGCCATGCTTCTTTAAAAAGACAGTTGCTATCAAGTTTCTAAATGGAACTACAGGCATTAATGTCGGAGACATTATACGTCATCGAGCTGAACTGGTCTGGAGCGCAGCTCGCTTGTGTTGGGCATTTGCATTTGTCTGTAGGTAATTTCATGAAGAGTATTTTATAGTTTTTTTTATGTTTTTTTAATTAAGAATTCAGATTGTGTATAGATAATGCCTTCACATGTAAAGGCTGTCGAGACATATTCATTTGTTGATCATTTATTTTAATTAAACTATATTATGAAGATACTGCTCACCAGTGCAGCATGTCTCTCTCCTGCCCTCAGTAATGCAAACGTGTGAATAAATGTGTAAAAATACAGACATATTAACTGTCATTTTAACGTGATCAAGTGATTTTTCGTCTTTTTTATTCATCTGAACACATTTTACTCAGTCATAACTGCAATATTTACACTCCTCCATAAAACGTATAGCAGATGTGACTGTATGGGCTGCTTTTCGCTGTACGTCGTGACATAAAAGGAATATTGAATGTTGCTCTGTGTCCATCATGATGGAACTTGCAGCCATTTGATAGACTTGTTCCTCACGCCTCATTTCTGTCATCTGTTAAGGTAAGCAGGCTGTGTGCGCGAGCCATACACTTATTTAAAAATGTCTGATGAAAATACTATATAGGCAGATTTATACACGCAGTTTTAAAACTTTTAGAACAACCGCAAAGCAAAACAGATGTATTTCCCACGTAAAATTATCCAAAAGGCACATAGGTCTATGTTTTTTTTGCGTATTTATTTGTTTATAATATATGCAGTGGATTATAATATAATAAACAGAGAGATTAACTCTTTGTCATGGATATTATTTCTAAAAATAAGCTTGATAAGTTGTCTGTAGCAGGGTGGGGCTGACGTCACAGACGAGCGCACCGAGGGCACTGTAGTCCGTTTATAGCCTAATATTAGCTTTTGAACTCTTGCGTTTGCATTTAAGATCCAAAAGTGCTCCAAGTTGTATTTTCGTGTGAGGATTATCCGACTGGACAAAACGTGTAAGTGTAATGAACAGTGTTTGAACACAGAGCTTATTATTTGCAATCTTCGAAAAGCCTTTGGGAAAATCCAATAGGGATTTTCACGAGGGAACCAGTTTTATGCTAGCAGCCGATTAGCCTACAAAGTGACGTCATAGTTCCTCCACTCTATTCCAGCTCTGTCATGTGCTCCTGTGAGTCAATTGCTAATAGTCTATAAGGTTAGAAGGTTAATCAAATATTATACAGCACTACTACGATTACACTGTATAACGCATTTCAGTGTGTGACTATAACCCACTATGAAAACCCAGATGACTGAATGATTTGACAGAGAAGCTGCAGCTGTGGTGGGAAAAATGTGAAGATTTTAACATCTTAAATTTATGAAGACTGAAATTAGTTGCAGTCTAACTAGAGTCTGTATACTTTAAGCTGAATTACCTGAAGAAGAAAAACTTCAAAGAAGAACTTAATAAAACTTAAAATACTTACCCATGACTGCAACAGTGAATCTTTTCTCATGGGCTCCTGAGCTGCTATTATTGATCTTCAGATAATAAGCCCCAGCATGTTCAAGTTTGATGTTTTTGATGGTCAAGGATCCAGTTTTTTTGTCCAGATCCAGTGTGTCTTTGAAGATCCCATGATGACCATCAGATAAAAAAATCTCTCCATCTTTGATTTCAGCTATGGGAGACTTCATATGTTCAAACCTCCATTCTACATGATCGTCGCTCTGTATTTCTGCAGCACTCTCTAAAACAGCTGTCCTTCTCTCCATCACTCTCACTTTCTCCTCTTCATGTCGCAAACACAGAGAGAAACAGAGAAAAACAATCATTTTCAGAAGTGAGCAAAGTTTTAGTGAAGTTTATTCATAAACTAATTTCGAGAGGATCACGTGCTTATAATTTATCACGGCCGGTCTCATATTTGCTAATCACTATCTTTCAATCATATGAGCCCTAAGCTACTATAAATAGCCACAGTTTTCAGTCCATTTTATCTTTGTTTGGAAGAAAGCCCCCTCCTCCCCTATTTTCCTCTTTTACCTCTGATAGGGCGGCACGGTGGCCCAGTGGTTAGCACTGTGAGCCCCACAGCAAGAACACTGCCGGCCCTGGTCCCACCAGGCGGGTGGGCGTTTCTGTGAGGAGTTTGTTTGTTCTCCCGGTGTCCGCGTGGGTTTTCCCCGGGTTCTCCAGTTTCCTCCCACCATCCAAAGACATTCAACATACATAACAATCAAGCATTTGTCTAACCCCTTTTGTTGCCTTAGCTACCGCAGCCGGGGAGTTCTGAGATCCACCGAGCTCAGGCTTCCCTCTCGCACTGGCAACAGGAGGAAGCCCGGGGCTCGAGGATCCCTTGAGCTCGGGGCTCTCTCCCAGTACAGCATGCCAAACAAGCTTTTATAAATCATCAGCTAAGTGTGAACTCTTGAATTGAACACACAAAAAAAAAGAACAAACTGCAAACTTAAAGGGGACATTCTACCAGAAACATACATTATACCTGAAATAAAAACCCAAAAATGTCTAAAATGGACTGATGGTTGATTTCTGTTGTTTTGTAAAGAAATATGCCATTCCTTTGTCACATCTCTTCATGTCACAGAAACAAAATCAAACAGAGAAATACAATCATTATGAATGAGTATGATTTAATTGGACACAAAGAGACGTAAATATCTCTACTCTAACTAATATATTGAAATATAAGAAATATAAGAAATGTAAACATAAAAGCAGTATTCTTCTATACACGTGCGTTATTTATTAACGACAATTACATTAAAAGAAGTAAACATTTGAAGTGGATCAAATCAAAAACCTTTTATCACCATTGTCCTAAAACCAAAAACAAAGCTGTTCTTGTCCTAGGAGAACTTTGAATCAATTTATGCCCCATTTCAATATTAACTATGAAATTCTGTTCTATTTATTCTTATTCACATCACTTTATGAGTCAGTAAGCCTCATTTCATTTTACACATTTTTTAAGCATTACAATATATTATAATATAAATTGTGCAGCATTATATAAGAATATATTGTACTGTGACCCATGTACAGCAATACATATTGTATCGGGATGCCACAGTTCATACCAGCTCTACTATATGATGTGGTCACTTGGAAAAGTATTGAAAATACTCTTCCAAAAAGAGAGATTGGCTGCTTCACACCTGTACTGATAAACTGTGACAGAAAGTGGGTGTGCTTAATTTGATAACCCCCCACCCTGGCTGACCCATAATGTGGAGTGTTGACTTCATTCACAGAGGCAGGTTACCTTTGTAACTCTTTGTTTAAATGAGTGTAAATCTGTGTTCATTATAAAGCTCAAACAACTTACCATTGATTTTAACACAGAACATCTTTAACTCTGTGATTCTTCTCCAGCTGCTGATCTTTACTTTAAAATCTCCAGTGTCTTTAATAGTGATGTTCTCGATGGTCAGAGATCCAGCGTTCATGTGCAGCATCAGTCTGTCTCTGAATCTCTCTTCAGGATATGTTATCTCTCTGGGCTCTCCAGTCATTTTCCCCATTATTGCAATCAGAATATCTTGATCTCCAAACATCCACTGTATCTCATCATCACTCTGTATTTCAGTGTCAGGCTTTAGAGTGACAGATTCTCCTTGCTGCACATACTTCATCTCCACTTCATTTATGACCACAAAAAAAAAGAAAAAAAAACAGAGAATAAAAATTTTGGCATTAGATCCATTAGACAGGTTGCTGTGATTTGAATGAAAAAAATAAACATTTATAGACTGTGACTAAAAGTAGGTGTGTTAAATTTGATAAACCCTTCATCCACAGAAGCAGGTAATCTTATTTAAAATGAGTACACATTTAAATAAGTGTAAATCTGTGTTCATTTTAAAGCTCAAACTACTTACCATTGACTTTAACACAGAACATCTTTAACTTTGTGATTCTTCTCCAGCTGCTGATCTTCACTTTAAAATCTCCACTGTGTTCATTAGTGATGTTCTTGATAATAAGAGATCCAGTCTCTTCGTCCAGATACAGTCTGTCTCCGAATCTCTCATCAGGATATGTTATCTCTCTGGTCTCCCCAGTCATTTTTCCCATTTTTGCGATCAGCTGATATTGATCTCCAAACGTCCACTGTATTTCATCATCTCTCTGTATTTTAGTGTCAGATTCTAGAGTGACAGATTCTCCTTGCTGCACATGCTCTACATTTGTTACCGCAAAACAAACAAAGAAAAAGAGAGAGAGAAAAAATGTTGGCATTAGATCAGGTTGCTGTGTTTTGAATGAAAAGAAGCAGGCATTTAAAATAACAAAAACAATGACCAGAACTGACATTAATTTATTAATAATAATCATTTATGTCATAGATTGTTTCCCCATAAAATAAATAATAAAGGTCTATAAACTAGGCCTTTTTGAATGAAAATATTAATGAGAGATTTTTTCAAGGTCATTGGTTCAAAAGTTTAGTTCATTCCAGAATCAAAAGACCCTTGTTGTTCAGATGAAAGGAAAGTAAGTTTTCAGGATTTTCTCCATTTGCTGGACTTCTACAATGCTCAGTGGTTTAAACTTCTAAATAAGCGAAACAATTAATAATTTTTTTTAAAAAAAATGTTAAACACCAAAGCTTGCATACTAGAGCTCGTATGAGACAATAAGACTTTTCTTTTTGTAAAAAGTGTTTTTTTCCAGAATGTGACAAATTGTTTTATGGTGGAAAGAAAGAAAGAAAGAAAGAAAGAAAGAAAGAAAGAAAGAAAGAAAGAAAGAAAGAAAGAAAGAAAGAAAGAAAGAAAGAAAGAAAGAAAGAAAGAAAGAAAGAAAGAAAGAAAGAAAGAAAGAAAGAAAGAAAGAAAGAAAGAAAGAAAGAAAGAAAGAAAGAAAGAAAGAAAGAAAGAAAGAAAGAAAGAAAGAAAGAAATGATCATCTTCCAGAAAGTAAATTAATCAGGTGTGCCTTAAGCATACTAAAATGTGACTCCTGACTCTTTGATCGCTCCCTGGTGGCTAAATGAATTACATATCATAAATCCAGTCTGCATGTAAACAAATTTGAACAAAACAAATTTTAGTCCATTAAACAAAAAGAAAAAACAATTACACTTGCAACAACATTTTCCTGAAGATGGTTTTAGTCGATAAACAAACTTGTTATCATGCTGACATAGGTTCAGGTGTTCAGTTTTTGTGAGGAATATGTTTTGGCTAGTTATTTCATGCTATAAAAACAGGGCGAGTAATCATGATTGACAGGTGTGATTGACAGATTTCTGTGTTATTTTTGTGTTATTTCTGTGTTATTTTCTGTATTTATTTTTTTTTTGTTGTTTAGCAGTAAATTGTAATTACTGACCTACAGGATCTGATGGATCACGATTTTTATTTGAAAAAGTTAAATGTGGGCTATGAGCTAACTAATAAATATTGTTTGCTAAGATACTAACCTAGGGCTCTATTTTGACGGTCCATGAGCAGAGCGCAAAGCGCAAACACTTTCAGGGTGTGTCAGAACGCATTTTGGCTAATTTAGGGACGGGAAAATCCGCTTTGCGTCGTGGCGCATGGTCTAAAAGGGTTGAGTTTATTTTCTTAATGAGTTATAGGTGTGTTTTGAGAATAAACCAATCAGAGTCTCGTCTCCCATTACCCTTAAGAGTCAGCTGCGACGCGCCATAAGCGCATTTTGATGTAAAGTAAGTTCACTTTCGCTTTTGCTCTCGTGGATAGGGAAACCTTCATCAATTAGCCTATAAATAATTAATTTCGTTTGTTAAACGCAAGGATTTGTTTCAAAACTATTTCTAAATTCAGTTCTAATTTCCAGCAAACAAATAAATAATCAATAATAACGAAGTGTGGTCAAAATACTGAGTTATTTCCAAATACACCTGCCATGCCCCATATGGTCTAAAACCTGACAGGTGGACAAACCTAAGCTTGTTTTTAATAAAACAAATATAAATATGGATATAATAAATAATACTGCTAATAATAAGAACATTATACAAAAGCAAATTAAATGAACTGAAAAAGCCTCCCGAGATGAAGAAAGTAAGGCAGTGGTTTTTAAATTCATGTAGGCTAGAAATTAATATGTTTTGTAATATTTTAATCATTTAATATATATATATATATATATATATATATATATATATATATATATATATATATATATATATATATATATATATATATCCTTAATATATTATATCTTTTTCATATGTAAAGATATTTGTGTATTGTTATACATCTTGTGTGTATTGTGTAAGCTAGGCGCACTTTGCGCCAGACAATAGACCGACTTTGTTCTGGTCTAAAGATCAGACTATTTACAGTTTCTCAAAATAGCAACACGCCAAAACAGGCCTGCTTTTTTAGACCAGAATGCCTATGGGCGCACATTTGAGCGCAAATGCATTTGCTATTTAAACAGCGTGGCGCAACATCTCAAAATGACCCTTGCGCCGAGCTGAAAGTAGCAAAAGACTATTGCGCCGCGCCTTGCGCCACATTGCGCCGGGTGTATGATAGGGCCCCTAGTCTTAGCCATGATAGGGAATAACAGGTGATAATTATCTGGCAGTTACTAATTTGTTTTATGGGTATAAAATAATAATTACAGGCTAATGTAAGCCTAGTGCTGTCCACATTAATCTCCTGAACCATCAGATGAACTTTTTAAAGTTTTAAACATTTTTATGAGTTTTAAACATTAGTACACTTTGCTGCCCACCTCTCTCCGCTAAGACAGTGAAGGAAAGGGCTATTAAAATGGCAGGTAACATCACCGATCAGCAAACCAAGGACATTAATTCAGTGCCAGCATACTCAATTGCCTGTGATGTGACCGATATTCAATGCGCTTTTATGCAGGTATGTGAACTCTGATGGGCCGCAAGAAGAAATGATCAAATTAATATCACTGAAAGACCAGAGGCTGTGCTGAAGTGTTTAAATGACAACGAAATAAACACCAACCACCTGATTTCAGTGGCTATTTAATCATAAAGGCTCATTATGTATTTGTAGCCAACTTAGTCATTTTTATAGTAGGCTAATATAGCTACTATAGATACATACAGCATGTGTTTCCTTTATTATAAGGCTTATATAAGGCTTTACATTTTTTGCGGCTCCAAACATATTTGTTTTTTGTTTTTTTTGGTCCAATATGGCTCTTTCAACATTTTAGGTTGCCGACCCCTGGTATAGTGTATAGACCGTCATATTGGGGTAATATAAACACACATAGTCCTTTTTTTCAATTTAACAACATAAAACAGTGGACCAATTTGAGCGGTTTTCAGAACGACTGCAATTTGATGTAGGAGTGCGGTCCCCCCGCCCACCAATATTGATTGACAGGCACGCATCACCATATCCTCAGTTTGTTGTTTCACGTCCGCCATTTTCAGCGTGAGTCAAAGCGATATCACTAAGGGAACACCCGTGCTCTTTTTTAGGATGTAAGGCTCATTGGGCTCAACACAAGATCAATATTCTCCACATGATCGCTCTATTTGAAATTATTGTTTGTACCTTTAGGTAGGTTTGCAAACATGTGTACTTTTCATTGTGTCTACCTTAAACTTCAGCAGTTTGCATTTCTCTAGGTCACAGAAGCTCCCTGTGATCTTAACTAGGTGCAGCTGAAAAGTGCATGCGCGTTGCCTCGTGTGAGCATCTCTCCATTGGAAATAAAATAGCTAACTTGCCTGCAGGTCGCACACCAGAAGCAATGCTCAGCGTCACGCCACACAGCGCCATGCATTTTAGAATTCTTAACATAGGTTTCTGTCAGGGTTCACACAATGGTGCTTCAAGTTGGTGGCTGTCCGCGGCACCCAGCCACGATTCGGGACACATCATGTTTCTGCCGTGCCACAGAGCACCATCAGAATAGTTTCATTTTCAATAACATCCGAATGTGCGTGTCTGAGTGTGCCGTGGCTCTGGTGCCTTAGTCAAAGTTAATCCAGTGTGCATGGGTATTAGTCTTGGTGTACAAGCTCGGCACTTTAAACTAGCACACAGTTGGCTGTAAAACTAGACAAAGACACAAAAGATTGTGTACTCTCTGCTTGGTCTGTGTCGGAGTCGTACATGTACGGCTGAATGCTCATCCTCTCACTCATCCTGCTTTTCTCTGTCTGCCTGTCTGTTGCAAACACAGAGCGGGTGAGCTCTTGGCTCCGCCCCCTTGTTGCGTTGGGCGGGAATTTAAAGCTAATTTTCATGTGAAGTAACACACCGCTAAAACAGCGAGCTGTGTACACTCCCCCAACATGACACTTTTTTAACACATTATAATAAAAAATCTGAACTGTGTGTTGAACTGAACCTAAACTGGCACACTTAGAAAAACTATAATACTAATATTAAATCTTTAAAAAGGGTAAACTATGTGCCCTTTAAAGCACAAGTGACTCAAAAACCAAAAACAGTCAAATCAATGCAAATTTTTGAGTTTTACACTCTACTGTGCCACAAATAAAGTATTTTTTGCTCTTTCAGCATCAACTGTAATACTTACTCTGATGTTTCTTTAGTTCAGAGATCTTGCGGCGATAGATAAAAAAACCCAATACAGCTGCAACTCCAAACAGCAGCAGCAGAACAACAACAATTCCTGCTACAGATTCTGAAGACAGACCTGAACCTGTAACAATAAAGACAGACATAATGAACAGTCTGATCTACAAACACTATAAACATCAGTGCGACACTACCTGATGAAGATCAATCTAATGATAAAGCCAATATGAATAATTTGATCTACAGCAAACACTATAAACATCACCATCAACAGAGCGACAGTCATTTTGGTGTGAACATGCCAACAAGACAAGAGCACAGATATGCAGATCATGACAGGATAAAAACAAAAGAAAAGTCAAAGTTATTAAGAATTATTTTGTCCACACTACTTGAGTAAATGTGAATGTATTATAACTTAGCCATCAGTGAATATTTGACACAAACAGTACATTTTGTATTGTCTAATATATAATATCAAATGTGGAATTCAACTATTAAGCACACATTTGAGGTATTTTATCATGTTTTGAGTATTTCATTTTTATGCAACTACACATTTTTTAATAATTTTATTAGGTTTTACTCTTCTTGGTTTGATTTATATATATATATATATATATATATATATATATATATATATATATATATATATATATATATATATATATATATATATATATATATATATATATATATATATATATATATATTGTACATGTTGATTGCCACATCAATCATCAATGAACAGTCAACAACATAGAATCCTACAAAGTGATGCATTGCTGCATTTGTCACAACTGAATAATAAAACAATTTATTTAATAGACATTAATGTTGTCCAATATCATTTTAATTCATTTTCTTGACTTAATTTAATATAATATTTCAGTAATATTGTTTTAAAATGATAATAGCTGAACTATCAACTGAAATGGACATGGATTCAGGAGAGCCAAAATGTTGTTAAAAAACACAAAGGGCTCTATTTTAACTATCTAAGCACATGGTCTAAAGCTACCAGTGATAAATTTAACCACCGTAAGTTATAGATTTTTTTTTATAGATGACTGATAAACAATCAAGACTTTAAAACCATTGATTTACTTACCAGTGACAGTAACAGTGAATTTTTTGTATGTTATCTGTTTGTTGCTGCTGATCTTTACAGTATAAAGTCCAGCATCTGTGTCTTTCATCGTATTGACAGTCAGAGATCCGGTCTGGTCATTCAGCTGAAGTCTAAATTTCTCATCAGTATCATAAAATGGTGGTTTCTTGGTCTCTTTATCTTCTTTAGCCAGGATTTTTCCTTCATCTCCAAACCTCCACACTATCAGCTCATCTCCATGTAGTTTAGTAACATCAGTGTGAAGAGTGACAGGATATCCCTCAATTACTGACAATCTCTTCAATTCAGCTTTATGAACATCAATTAAACGTACAGGCTCTGCAGGAAACACATTAACAGAAAGAAACCCATTATTTGTCTACACAGAAAAAACTTACATTTTTAAATTAAGATTTTTTTTTTTTTTAAATCCAGTCAACATTCACAACGGCAAATAATAATAATGTTATTTCAACACAAATCAAGCCAATGTTATAATTTTAAGTTTTTTTTTTTCGTTTTTATGCAACTTACAAATAACATTTCAAGTATTACTTTATAGCAAGAAGAAATCCATGAAACTAGTTACTAAATTATAAATAGCTAAAACTGCTTGTTTTTTACCTTATAAATAAGGGAAAAAATATTTACATATACAGCTATGGAGAAACTGCATAGAATTTTTCAGTTACTCAGGATGTCACATATGCGTTTGAGTAAAATGTAAACATTCTTTTCTTAATATTAAGTTCTGATATTTATTTCCAAACTTCAAATAAAACATTGTCATTTAGAGCACTTTCTTCGCAGAAAACACTGCTTCCTTAAATTTTAAACTCTAAAGTTAAAACAGTACTGTGTTGTCTAAAAATAAATATAAACATTTCTAAATCAATTGCATTTTTAATACATTCTGGTCAAGTGTCATTTTGTGGCTTTGAACGACAAAATTTGTAGAAAGCAAAACAAGCAATTTTTCCCCAGAGCTGTGTGTGTGCGCATGTTGACTGAGTGGTTTCCTGATGTAAAAGTGCAAAAAATTACACACTCTAGGAAGGACAAAGATTTGTCTGTGAATTATATTAAAACATTATCTTGCCAGATCAATAAAAAAAGAAACTCAAAAACATTGAATAGTTTACAAATAAATGTTTCCTCACCATTGACATGAACACTGAACTGAATTTCTAATTGCCCATCGCTGTGGTCAATCTGTACTCTATAATCTCCAGAGTGTTTTCTTCTCAAGTTGTTGATGGTCAGAGATCCGGTCTGATTCAGCTTCAGTCTGCCTCTAAATAGCTCAGTGTAGTTAGGATATGAGACATCCTTTCCATCGACCTGAGCAATGGTGTTACCTTTATCTCCAAATCTCCAAAGTACCAGAATAATCCCCTGTAAATCCTGACCAGGATTTAAAGTTGCAGAATCTCCCTCAAACACTGACACTGAATTCACTTTATTAGCATCAGCACCAAACACACCTGCAGAAAAGCAGAAATAGTTACTATTTCACTAAAAAGTATATACAACAAAATACAGCCTAGTATTTAAAAAAAGTTTTGTTTTAAAAAAATTATCATTTTTTAAATTAATTTAAAAGAAGCATTTTCTAGTTACCAAAGTGGAAATTATTTCATGGAATATGAAACTGGATATATTTATTCTTTTTTTTAATACTATATAAATAAAGTTTTAAGATTTACATAAAAAGCAAATTATTCATTTGATGTCAAAACTGAATTTTATGATTCATTGCTCTTCAGTGTCACATCACCTTTCAGAAATCTGCTGATTTACTGCTCAAGACACAATATGCAGATTTGTCCCAAGTTAGCATGGGTAGAAACTTAAAGGGATAGTTCACTAAAAACTGAAAATTATGACATCAATTAATCTACCTTCACTTGTTCCAGTTTGTTTGACTTTCTATCTATTGTTGAACACAAGAAAGAAGTACTTTGAAGAATGTTGAAAACCAGTAGCCACTTACTTCCATGTATTTTTTTTTTCCTACTATTGAAGTCAAAATTATCTTCCTTTGTGCTCAACAGACAAAAACAGAAATTCACAAAGAAACCACACAAGTAATAATTAGCTCAATATCATTTTGGGTGAACTATCCCTTTAAATAAATATTAGGTCAAACAGGAATCTAAAATAAAATCTGTAATGGTACGTATATTCATTTTAGAAAACCTTTGCTTTCACTTTACTACATGTCAAAACTATACATTGTACTTTTTGCTCCACTAAAATGTTATATTTATTGTGGGGCTGTAAGTATTCACTGAAACAATGATTCAATTCCATTCACAATTTAATTTCCATTTACTCACCTTTATTCATTTATTTTTATTTTTTTTTTAATAAACACATAAATATTTGTCTGATATAGTTACATTTAGGCGGTTTATTCCGCTGTGGCGACCCCGGATTAATAAAGGGACCAAGCCAAAATGAAAATGAATGAATGAACAAATAATTACATTTAATTCAGACTAACAACATAAAAAGTCAAGATGCAAACATTTAAACCTTAAAACCTTGGGAAAAAACAAACAAACTGGTACTTCAAATAGAGTGCGCACATTCTCATCAGTCGAACACCAGTGCTGTTCTAGAAATCAACTCTTTTGCACTAGAAATCTCTTCCCTCTTTCTTTATTGACAAACAATCTCGCATCCAGTCTGTGAACCAGGTTATAGGGTCCCTTAAGCGAGTTTGGGTTTACTTGGATTAATATGATCACTAAATAAGATACTGATCAGCTCAAGGAAACAATCAGGAAACACAGAACAAAAGCCTACTCTAGCAATAGTTTCTGAGAGCAATGTGAAACCTAAAGTCATTTTAAAAAGGCAGAAATGTAATACTTACTGCACATAAATAGCAAAATATGAAGGAAGATTAAAGTCATTTTCATAATGTTGAAGATTTTAGCAAGATCAGATTTTGATGGACATTAGAAAAATATTTTTAGCGTTAGTTTCTGGACCACACCCCACTGAAAGCGACGATTGATAACAAAACCAAGTAAAACAAACAAAACGACTGTTTCTGACTAGGTGCTACGTAAAAAAAGAACTTTAAGGATTTCAATTATGATGTAAAATTACCATAACAAAACAAAAAAAAAACATACAAAACACTACGGCGAAACTATCTTCTTCTTCTTTCTGTTTTCTTCTTCTTCTTCTTTTTCGTTTAATGGCGGGTGGCAAACCAGCTTGAGGTGCATTACCGCCACCTACTGTGTTGGAGTGTGAGACTTCAATGAGTGGAAGGATTACTACTTATTCTCTAAAAAAAATAAAAAAAAATAAAACTTCTTTTTTTTTTATCGATAAAATACAAACCAAAAACCTATTTTAAACCCTTACATAGTAATTAAATAATAATAAACAATATTCATAATAAAAATCTAAATAAAACTTACTAAATAACCAAATTATAATTCTTTCCGATTAAATCCTGTAAAACAATCCTGTACTCCTCAAGAATTTTAGCAGATAATCATATACCTTAGTTTCTTTCTGAGCATTTTTAAAAATGTTAGTGATTGTAATGTCAGTCATGTCCAAATCTCTTAGTTTTATTTTAAACTGGTCCCTCTCTCTTCTATATTTTGTGCACTTGATTAATACATGTTCTATGGTTTCGATCTGTCCACAATGTCTGCAGCATTCTGTTTCCCTTTTCCCTATCTTGAATAGTGAACTGTTTAAATTGGAATGACCTATACGAAGTCTGGATATGACTGTGTCTTCCTTCCTGTTCCCATATACTTTCCTTTCTTTCCCCACTTTATTTTGTATATTATACAGATGTCTTCCTTTTGATTTGAATCCCAGTCCTCTTGCCAAAGATTATTTACTGATTTATTTATAATATGTTTTATTTCTGTTTTAGACAGCGGGATCTCAATATCCACCTCATCTTTCCCCAATGCTGTTTTTGCCATCTTATCTACTATTTCATTTCCTTCTACTCCTACATGAGCAGGGATCCATAAAAATTTTACTGTTACTCCTATTTGGTTTATTTTATTTATGTTTTGAAATATTTCATTTAGTAGATCCTGTCGTGTTTCTGAGGTCCCCATATTCAAACAATGTAGTGCTGAGTATGAATCAGAGCACACCACTACTCTTAATGGCTGATTTTGTTCCACCCACTGTATTGCCATTGATATTGCCATTAATTCTGTTGAGAAAACTGATATATGATTGCTTAACCTCATTGAAACATTTTGTTTATTGTTAGGAATATATAGAGCTGCTGCTGTATAACCATTGTCTGGATTTTTAGACCCATCTGTATATATTTGTGTATAATTTAAATATTTTTGTTTTAGATACCGTCTTACTAGATTATCTTTAGACAGATTCCTGTTCTTATTCTTAATTATACTGTGTATCTGTAAATCAACTTGTGGCACTTGAAACATCCAGTGAGGTGTATCTGGTATAGTTAATGTAGGTCCTATTTTTATTTGATCCAATCCTAATTTCCTGGCCTCCAATTCTGCATTCCACCCGAAACTCCTGTTCTTGCTATATTCATGTTCCCAGCAGTTTTTGATTATTGCTTTTACTGGATGTGTATCTGCATGCCCTCTTACAGTGCTCCAATATGCCATTTTCAGCTTAAGTGTTCTATACTTTATTGGTTGTTCTGCCATTTCCACCTGAATCGCTGGGATGGGCGATGTTCGAAATGCTCCACTTCCTATTCTTAATGCTTGAGATTGAATAACACTAATTTTTTGTAGCTGAGATTTGGATGCTGAGCAATATACTATACTGCTATAATCTAAAATTGGCCTTATCATAGCACAGTATATTCTTTTTAATGCATGTCTGGTAGCACCCCACTCTACTCCTGCCAAACATCTTAGAATATTTAATCGTTTTTTGCATTTATCTTGTATTTTCTTTATATGGGTTGTAAATGTAAGTTTTGAGTCTATCCATACTCCTAGGAACCTGATTTCTCGAACCTGCTCTAACTCTTGCCCATATAGATTTATTATGATATTTGGGGATTTCCTTTTTTTTTTGAGAAACACATCACTTTGGTTTTTTCTACAGACAATTTAAAGCTCCATTTATTTACCCAATTTTCCACTTCATTAACTGCTTTTTGCATTTTTTCTTTAACATATTCTACGTTTCTTCCCCTTTTCCACAAAGCACCATCATCTGCATATAAAGACTTGCCTATTTCTTGTCCAACCGTTTCAAATATATCATTAATCATAATGTTAAATAACACCGGGCTGCATACACTACCCTGTGGGGTCCCATTATCTATTGAATGTATACTAGAATAACTTGTTCCTACCCTTACCTGAATAGTTCTGTTAAACAAAAAGTCCATAATCCAATTGTACATTTTTCCTTTGATTCCCATATTATCTCATTTAATTAATACTCCTTCTTTCCAAAGCATATCATATGCCTTTTCGATATCGAAGAATATCCCTATTAACACCTCCTTATTCATCATTGCTTTCCTAATTTCAGATTCTAAACATAAAACTGGATCCATTGTACTTCGTCCTTTTCTAAAGCCACTCTGATAATGATTTAAAAGATTTTTACTTTCTAACACATAATTTAGCCGAGATACTATTAACTTCTCCATTATCTTACATAAATTAGATGTCAACGCAATTGGTCTATAATTTGTTGCTACTGTATGCTCTTTGCCCGGTTTTCCAATTGGAATTATCACTCCATGTTTCCAAGACATAGGAAGTTTTCCCACTTCCCATATTTTATTGAAGAACTTTAGAAGTCTAATTAGTGATGTATCTGAACGATGTTTTATCATTTCATAACAAATTTCATCTTTACCTGGAGATGTACATTTTAAATTCTGTATTACCTGCTTCAGTTCATGTATAGTAAAATCTGCATCCAATCTGTACCCAGTTGGTAATTTTTGTGTTAATACATTTGGATTTTCTTTTATGATTTGTTCCCTTTTTATTCTCATACTGTCTGATAAGTTATTATTACTGTGAACCTTAACAAAGACTTCTACCAACTCCTCTGCTTTTTCTTCATTGGTCATTATGTATTTACCTTCTTTTATTAAAGCTGTAATATTTTTATTTATTTGCTTTCCACCCATTTTCTTGATCATATTCCACATATCATTTATATCTATATCTGTGCCAATTTCATCACAGAACTTTCTCCAATAATTTCTTTTTGTTGTCCTTATTACCTTCCTTACTTCTGCTTGGGTTCTCCTATACTTTATAAAGTCGTCAAAAGAGTATGTCTTTTTAACTTTTTTTAAAGCTTTATTTCTGATTTTAATTACCTCATTACATTTTTCTGTCCACCATGGTACAGCCTTTTTAATTTCCCCCCTTTATTTCTCCCTATAACCTCTTGTGCTGCACTACATAAAACAGCATTTATTTTGTTATTTGTATCTTCTATTTCCTCAAAGTTAAATTTTGTACTAAGCATTTTATTTTCACAAATCTCTTTAAATTTTTCCCAATTAGCACCTTTAAATCTCCATCTTGTCATTTTCTCCTCATGACATTCATCTACTTTTACCCCTATTGAACATTTTATAGGATAATGATCACTCCCTAAAGTACTATGACATAAGATTTCCCATTCACATTGCCTTGCTAAGTTATTGGATACTATTGTTAAATCTATGACTGAATTTCTTCCTCTTAATACATCCACTCTTGTTATATTTCCATCATTTAAACATACTAAATCATTGGAATCTAATATTTCTTCTATTACCTGCCCATTTTGATCATTATTTACACATCCCCACAAGGTACTATGTGCATTAAAATCTCCACACCATATTATGTTATCATGTCCCTCTATTCCTATATTTTTAGTTAGATTGATATTCAATCTCTTACAGGGGTTGTAGAAATTTATCACTCTAATGTTACGATTTTCTGCCCTTACATCTATTACTATTGATTCATATCCTCGTTTACTTTTATCTCCCTGTATGCAACCCCTGCCTTAACTAAAGTAAGCACTCCTCCCCCATTTCCTATTTTCCTATCTTTTCTTACTATTTCATATCCTTGAACCACATAACTTAAATTGGGTTTTAGCCAAGATTCTTGTACACATATTATATGTGGTTTTATCTTAAAATCATCTATCCATTTTTAAAATTCTAATCCATTTGATATCAGACTTCTTGCATTCCACTGCAAAATTAAAAACACCATTATACTTCTCCACATGTTGACTGAGAGATTGCTACATTCATCTTTAGTTTCTCATTTATCTGTTCAACTGTTATTCCTACCACATTCAAGTACTTTTCCGCTGCTCTTAGAATTATTCTTGTTCTTTCTGTTCTACTTTCAGTTTGGGCCGAGCAATTTACCACTTCTACCATAAAGGTTAAAAATTCCATCTTATTTTGAATATTCATGGAATTATCTATTTCCTGAACCAAACACTCTTTTCTCATTTTTGTGTCTACAACCTTAACTTCTGTTTCTTTCTTTTCTTCCGTCTTAATCTTCTTGATGGCTTCTGCGTATGTTATTCCTTCAGAGATCTTAACATTCTGAACTTTTACAGCACTTTTCCTCACCTGACAACCTCCATATCCCGCGCTATGTTCTCCCCCACAATTACAGCATTTTGGTTTCACACCTTCTTCACATTTTCCGTAGTCATGTTCCCTTCCACATTTTGCACATCGTTGTTTTCCTTTGCACACTACTGCAACATGTCCAAATTTTTGGCACTTGTAACACCTTAGCGGGGGGGATGAACAGTCTTACTGCATAGCTCATTAATCCAACATACACTCTTTCCGGCAGTTTCTCCTCGTCAAAGTGTATCATTATCGACAGACTGTCAATTCTCTCATTATTTCGGGTTATTTTTAGTCTCCTTGCATCTATCACTTTTGCTCCCGTAATGCTTTTCTTAATTGTTTCTACAGCTATATTTGTTGGTATTCCCGTAATGACTCCTCTCGTCCATTTCTTTTCTCCCATTATTTGACTAGTGACTTTTTGTCCTAATATAGACTTTAACCCTAAAGCAACTTTTTGTTGTTTGCTATCTTTACAGAAAATGATCATTTTCCCATCTCTCAGCATTTTTGCACTTTCTATGTTCCCAACTGTTTCTTTTAAAGATTTTGTCAGTTTCAAAGGATTCAAATTACTTGCGTCCCCTGACATAAATTTCACCATTATTTTATACTCCTGCTTTATTTTGCTCACCTGGTGACATTCTCTCTCACTCTCTGTTCCTGAAGTCTGGCTCCAATCTTTTCTCCTTTTTCGCTTTTCTACTAAAGTCCACTTGCTACTTGTTTTTCTTTCATCTTCCCCGCCATCTAATTCATCCTCCATATCCAACTCACTTCCGGATTCTACTTCCCTTCCACCCATCTTGGTCTCAGTCACAACCAATGACTGTAAAAAATATGGACGACGCGACAGCCCTTTTTCCCATTGAACGCCTTGAGGGCAAAACGCCTGCTTGACGGGCACAAACTGTCGCAAAAGACTGCTGAAATTGGAGCCAGACATGCGCAGAAGGATTGTCTGATGGAGCCAGAGGAGGAGCCGCGAAAATGAGCAGAGTCGAGCTTCCAATCAAACGCTTTATGTAAAATCAACCACGCCCCCCGAACTTCTCAGCATGCGTTTGCTGTCATATCAACACAAATGGATGTAATAACGTTAACAAATATGAGGGTTTTATATATTCAATCGCGCCAGCTCCAGGCCGCAGCGCATAACTTACTCGCGGCGTCGCGGGCTGATTCCGGCTCGCATGCGGCAGCGCCGGCTCGCTCGGCTGCCGCATCTGGCTCGATTGACTCGGGCTGGAATTGGGTAGTGAGTCCAGGCATCCGGAGTAGGTCCAGCAGAGGTAACATTAGTCAGTCTGAGCTCTAAGAGATAAGTCTCCGGCAGGCGAGAATCTAGCCGGAACTGTGTTTTGCTATCTGGGTGGCTAGGCGTGTATCAGCAAACTAATAAAGCCCGAAAAAAGCCCTGAACTTAGCGAATAAACAGTGTTCCACCAGGATCATGTATGTCAGAAACTATAGTTTACTGCTGAACTCATTTTGTCATGGTAAAATAACACAGAAATCGAATAATAACATTTCAGTCTACTTCAGTCGCCTGCCGAAGCTCAGACGCCGCGCTTTGAGAAACTGTCAATCACAGCTGTCAATCACGATGACACGCCCAGCATTAAATTACTGCTAAAAACAAACTGTTTACAAAAATGAAGATCTGCACCTATTTCAGCACAATAACCAGTGCCTTAATCGACCAGAACTATCTTTCGGGACATTTTATTGCAAGTGTAATATTTTTTTTTATTTGGGCTCAAGTCTCCTTCATTAACACGGAGGAGGCGGGCTTTATGACTTGTACTGCAGCCAGCCCCCAGGGGGCGATCTAACGGCCGAGACCTTCACTCAAACGCAGGCTTGCGGCACACTTGGTCACAACTCAGTGTTGCCACCCGCCGGTCGACGGGAATATCCTCGAGGGGAAGCTTGAGCTTGAGCTCCACCTTTTCTGAATCCCACCCCACACGCGTCAGTTGATAACACAACCCAGAAAAACAAGCAAAACGACTATTAACATTACTCACTAAGTGCTACCTAAAAAGAACTTTAACGATTCCAATTATAATATAAAGTTTCCATAACAAAACCAACAACAACAACAAAAGTTATTTTTCTTCTTCTTCTTCTGCATTGATGTTTAACGGCGGTTGGCATCCAACTTCAATGGTGCATTACCGCCCCCTTCTGTACTGGAGTGTGGACTGGATTTGGACAGAGACAATTACAGTAACCTCTAATTTTATATTCCCCTCTCCTCCCTTTACTCTTTTTACTCTTTTGATCTTAACCTAAATATCCATAATAAACTCTATATCCTATTTACTAAACCAGTGACCTTTAAGAAATATAATACTTGTGACTTAATGTCTCTTGACGTTTTTCCTAATATATCCTTTAGTGTACACCATTGCAACCCCATTTTCCTTAATTTTTATTTTAACATTATTCTTTCTTTATTATATTTTTACACTCAAGCATCACATGTTCCACAGATTCAATATTATTACAATATTCACATCTTCCAGATACGTGTTTGCCTATCACATGCAAGTATTTATTTAATCTACAATGTCCAATTCTCATCCTAGTTATAATAATTTCTTCTTTTCGATTTCTTTCAATAGCCCTCCTTTCTCCAACCTTCTGTTGAATACTATATAGATGTCTTCCTTTCTTCTCTTCATCCCAACTTTTCTGCCAATTTTCCAAAATTTTCCTCCAAATAATTTTTTTAGCTTCTGCTTTACTTATTTTTATTTTTCTTCTTCTTCTTTTCATGAGTTTTATTGGCGGTTGGCATACAACTTCTAAGTGCATTACCGCCACTTGCTGGTTAGGAGTGTGGGCCATGATAGCACTATCTGCAGGCCCGGAGACCCAACTGCACGCTCAGATCTGCGCGCACAGACCTGCACTTCCAGACCAGACAGTGCCACCTGCTGTTGGGTTGGGTGAAGCAGCAGGTACGGAGACCCAACTGCACACTCTGACCAGCACTTTCTAGCAAGTAGCAACATCAGAAACGCCAGTGAGGTTATTGATTATTAAAGCGATTCCTGAAAATTACCAAGTTTTATGGCATAAATCAATGTGGTGTAAAATATTACACTAACAAACAATTATTTCAGTGTTTGATTTGATCAAAGTTAGTGTCAAAAGAGCATTATTTTATTATATTTACAGCTTGCACTTATTTTATGCATTATTGTACCATTCTGGGACAATTTTCTAGCAATGTTTTCTGGCAAAAAAAAAAAAAATTTAAAGTAAAAATGTTAAAATAAAATGTAGGCTATAGCACAATTATTAATTGTAACGTATTTTAGTGCTGTTTAGGTCTACTGTTCATATTACTGTATTATCTATCTGAAAGTGCTACGAAAGACAATAACAGTAACACAATAACAGTTTATCAATTATTTATAAGTTCTGTAATAATTACAAACACGTTTTTTTGGAAATCAAAATATCAGTTAATCTACATAGAATTTACAATATGAGCTCTCTTAGGTGAAATCAAAAATAATTTGCTTGTGGTGTGTATTTTTTTCCCAAATTTATATTACATTTAAAAAGTGTGTCTCTGCCAACACTAATACAATGTGCCAAAAACTGCAGATATTTCCAGTTTTTTTTTTGCTCTAGCAATGAAAAATCTCCCCAATAAGAATGTAAAGCATTTATGTTATTTACTACGTCAAAAATTATTTTTACTCCAATTATTATTTTTCAGAATTTTTCTATGCATTGTTTAACTTGACTTGTAGGACCTCATGAAAAAATACACAAAAATAAAGTTTGTTCTGAGACAATTACTTAGAGTACTATAATTGTATGTGAAGAAATTTATTGTATATGAAGATAATATTCATTCCCTCAACTAAATACAAAACAGTGATAAATCCTCAATAATAAAAAAACAACAAATGTCTGAAAATATTGAAGTAACTGAACAATATCTATTTACAAATACAATTAATAAAAATACAACAGAATTAATGCAATTGAATCAAAAATCTAGTATGTTTAATATTTCATATAATAATCTATTCAATCATAGCCTAATATTTTATAGTAGAAAAATAGTTTAAATTACAGTTTAGAAGCAGCTGAAATCAGGTTAGTCGATCTTTTAAACAGCAGGTGGCACTGTGAAGGTCTGGAAGTGCAGATCTAGCTGTCTGAGCGAGCAGATCTGAGCGTGCAGTTGGGTCTCCGGGCCTGCAGCTTCATACTATTGCTATCTATTCATCTTTAGAAAAGAAAAGAAAAAAAAAACTACACCACTTATCAATGGCGCAAAAAGGGGGTATGCAGTATATGCGGCGCATAGGGGCGCCACACATGGGGGGCGCCATTGTGCCAAAACTATTTTTGAAATTATACATATTATTATACATATTAAACAAAATAAATACATATTTTTGGTTAAAAATGTTTATCCTGCATTTTATATAAATATACAATTGTATTTTATTGAATAAAAAAATTATACCACCCCTCCCTCTTCATTGACCATTTGATTGATCCGTTGCTCGGTTACAGTCACATGTTCAAAATGGAGAGAAGAGTAAAGAGATGTGGAGCGCAAAATGGAAAACAAAAAGAGAACAAACAATGCCTTAAAATAAAAACTGCCATGACAAATTGGATAATAAGGAATTGGTAAGCTTAAGCTTAATATTACCACACTTTTAATCAACTTCTAATGTTTTTGAGAGCGACGGGCTGCCATATCATTAATTATACATTATCGCCACTCAGTCACTGCATGCATGGGCTTTTACTTAACATAAATGCAGACAAGGTGGTTTTGTCCAGACAGGGGGACAGTGACGCACGGCCACACCTGAACTGCGTCCGAAATCGCATATTTGCATCCTGTATAGTATGCGAAAAACACTTCTATGGGCTAACTCATTCCCTGTTATTCCACTATGCGCTGCCTGGAACCCAACAGAACTTAACATCTAATGATAATCCCATCATCTGAATGCGATATAGTGTTTGCAATATCTCGATCAGTACATATTTTCTGCTTGCAGAATGTCCACTCTCTAACGTCATCAGTGAGGAATTTGAATCTGAACATATCAGTGCTTCTAATGGTCTGTTTTCTTTAACCCATTGAAGTGCCATTAGTATTGCCACCATTTCTCCAGTATAAACTGATAGATCGTCTGAGATTCTTTTAATAACTTTTATTCTAAAATCTATTACTGAGTATGCTACCCCCACTCTGTTTCCACTATCTTTAGATGCATCTGTATATATTAAAACATGATTAAAATATTTGTCTTTAAGATACATTTGCACCAATTGAATATTAAAATTGCCCTCTGCACTCTTATCTCTTCTCTTTAACAATGATGTCAACAAAAAACGTATAATACACTACAGCTAAACTAAAGGTATTCTTTCTTTCGTTTTTCCTCTATTTCTAATGATGCTTTTTCGCCACCTACTGGACTGGAGCGTGGAGAGAAAAGAAGGAGACGAGGATTATATCTAGGCCAGACATAATTTGTGGACTTTTTAAACTTAGTTTAAAATAATTACTTTTAAATTTAATTTAATGTTTACAATGCAAATCCAATTAGATCCAGTTGTTTGGTAAACAAAGCTGTTTTTTTACTCTATATACATTTATTCTGATTAGATGTCTGGCTGAAAGCCAAAAATTATAGCTGACACAAAAATACATCCACAATGCATTGTTGACACAGAAAAAAATAACAATGGATGACTATTATATCAATAATAATCATGAATTGTGCTTATACACATTTTGTGTCACATGTAGATATTCAGATATACACTTAGAAATCCACAGATTTCTGGCCCATCATTGAGTCTATTTACTTGAGTAAATGTGTGTAAATCTATATTTACTCAATTTTTTAATTAATTTTAGTAATATTACTGATTATTATAAAAATGTTAATTAGGTTTATTTATAATAGTTTTAAAAGTTATATTTTTTTGTCTTTTAGTAGATATATTATATAAAAGGCTTGCTTTGTTACTAAATAAGTTGATCTAATTGAATTAGAATTTTAGACATTAAATAAAAGTTACACACACACACACACACACATATATATATATATATATATATATATATATATATATATATATATATATATATATATATATATATATATATATAATTTTTTTTTCTCAAATATTACATTTTTAGTTGATATACTCCCAAAATCATTATAAAATTCATTCAAAAATTCTACACAGAAATAACAAAAAATGTCTGCAGATTTTGCCTGGCCCTGCTAATAGGTAACAAAATGTTAACTAAACATTTTTGTTGAAAATGATACTTAATGATCAGCTTTCAGTGTAATTATAATATGTCATAAGTGGAAAACAACAACATGGGTAAATTGAATTGTACATTGAAGTTTGATTATAAATGCAATTACAGCGTTTTAACCATAAACAAGGTCTGTCAGTAACAAATAAGTGGTCAAACAAGATTTCCTATGGTCCTAAAGAGAGATTTAGACACAGACTGGATCTCTGACCATCACAACCAGCAGAGAGCACTCAACACATTCAACCTGACGGTCTATGGTGAGTAGAGTCAACTATAGACTCTGATAGTCACTATAGAGTGCTTTATAGACATCATAGACATTTCAATAATTTGTTTTATGATTACATATTTAATTATCAATCATAATAATTTGTTTCATTGCTACTTTAATTAGGTAAAAAAAAAATATATATTAAAACTTTAATCAACTAACAAATAGCACAGCTTTTTTATTTAGTTTCTTATTTAAATTCATGTAAAGTAAAAATCATCCCTTGAGTATTCTAGAGCAAGTGATGTGGTTCTTCATGTGTGAACCCAGCATTATAATTGAATTCCATAAGTCTTTATATTATATTGACTACAAACTAAATCTTCCATAATGCATGTGTTTTGTCACTCACTGTAAAGTGTCCCACTGTCACCCATTAGCAGCTCAAATTTTTTTATTGTTCCATAATTTCTTATAGTTCCTTAACATTTTCCCTTTATGTTTCATAATTTCCATAAAGTCTTTAACATTTTGGAGAAAGATAATGACTTGTATCTGATGATGTTTGTCTTTTTTATTATTTTTTTTTTGGATGGAGTAATGTGGGTTTCTTGACCTGATAAAAGGATTAATGTTATACAATAACCCAGATAATTAAAACCTGTTTTACATGTATGCACATCTATTGTGATGTAAAAGTGATATACAAACAATAAAATAAATGAAAACAAGTACACTGTAATTAATTCATATTAAAAGAGGATTTGTATTGTAGAAAATCAGTTAAATAAGGAGATAAAGGACATTTGTTCATGAATACTATTTGTACAATAATCAGTAAATATCTCTGGTTATTCAAGAAGATCTCCACTATGCTTTTCTGATTATTCAGAGTCTGAAGGAGATGTTTGCTTTCTATTCCTCTGGTCAGATCTTCTGGATGTAACATCATAGACCAGGACAGCAACAGTAGCCACACCCACCACAGCAGCGAGAGCCAGTCGAATCACAGCTTCAGCAAAACCACAACAGCAGATACAATCTAACAAGAGAAAATTGAGAAATGTTTATATTCATTTAGTTTGCTGAAAAAATATATGGAGAGAGAGCCTTTTGTACCTTCACAAAACTGACAGACTTGGATGTCTAGATGTTGAGTCTGGTTGCTGATAGGATTCTTCACCACACAGCTGTAGGAATCATCCAGACAGTCAATCTCCAGAGGTAGAGAGAGACTGATGCTGAGATCAGACACACTGATGCTGGACAATACACTGTTTCCTTTGTACCAGGAGAGACTCACAGCGCTCACATTCACCACTGAACACACCACTGAACAATACTGCACTGATGAAGAGTTGCTGATGACAGGAGCAGGCAGATGAGCTGGAAAATATCAACAAATATATTGTAATTTAAATTAAATAAAAATGCTGTGATATTTAAAATTGGTTTACAAAATGTAAAATTATAAAATGTTCATGATTTAAATAACTAATAAATAATTATAATTGCATTTAATTTAATTATAATAATGCACAAATGAATCTGTTTAATAAATTGTCTATAATTTTTTACAAATAGCCTAAATAAATGTCTATAAAGCAGTGTAAGTAATTCTCTAATCACCATAGACAGTGAGGTTGAATGTGTTGAGTAGCGTGTTTGAGCTGCTGGTGGTTATGTTATAAAGTCCAGAGTCAGAGATTCTGCTGTTTTTGATGGTCAGCGATGAAGTTTGACTGTCCAGCTTCAATCTGTCTGTGAAACTCCCATTAGGACCATTAAAAGTCTCTCTTTTATTGTCCTTTCTGTTGATTTTAGCTAAGAGATTGTTTCCAAACCTCCACATTATCAGATCGTTGCTCTTCATTTCAGTAAGAGCAGATTCTAGAGTGACCGAATCTCCTTCAGTGACTGACACCGACTTCACTTCAGCACCACACACACCTGAACAAACACACACACACACACACACACACAGTTGGAAGTCAGAATTATTTGCTCCACTCAATTATTAGTCCCCGTTTATTTTTTCCACAATTTCTGTTTAATGGAGAGAAACTTTTTTCAACACATTTCTAAACATAATAGTTTTAATAATTGATTTCTAATATCTGATTTATTTAATATTTGCCATGATGGCAGTAAATAATATTTGACTAGATATTTTAAGACACTGCTGTACAGTTTAAAGTGACATTTAAAGGCTTAACTAGGTTATTTAGGTTAACTAGGCAGGTTAGGGGAATTAGGCAAGTTACTGTATAATGATGGTTTGTTCTGTAGACTATCAAAAAAATATATACACTGTAAACGATTTCTTGTTAAATTAACAGTAAGTTACTGGCAACAATTATCCAGTAGCTGCTGTATTTCATAAAACAGTAACATTACTGTAATACTAATTACATTAGTATTACATTTACTGTAAGATGTAATACATCATTTTACTGTTGTTGATTTTTACTGTAACACTAATTACAGTAGTGATACACATACTGCAAAACTGAAAACAGTATTTTATTGTACATTTTTACCATGAAGAACTACAGTATTTTAATGTTACTTTCATTATTACTGTATAGTATTTTACAGTTATTAAATGTTATTTTATTTTATTTAATAGTGCTACTTTATAATGGGTAAAAAATGTTCAAAAATTGCACAAGTGTTATTTTAACTGTTCAAGACGTACAAGAAAAATAAAGAAACTGAAACTTTAACTTCACAATAAAGGTTTATTGTGTAAACCATGCTAAAACAGTAGCAATAATTCAATATAACAGAGCAACAGAACACTAATAAACAATTTATCATTAAAACCAGTCAACAATTAATGCATCAAAAATTATTACAATTTTAAAAACAGATGAAAATACTGCTACAAGACAGGAAATGATGAAGGCCAAATGATGTGAAAAGGGACAGTGAAAAAGGGCAGCAACATGATGATGATCCTGCAAAAATGACAAGCAAAATCAATCACTGAAGTAAAAACTAATCATCCCTCAAACCATTTAATTCATTCAGAAACGAAACACTGCACTGCTGTTTAAATATATATATATATATATATATATATATATATATATATATATATATATATATATATATATATATATCAGTTATATAAAACAATTTTTTAATTGTTTTTGTTGGTGAAATACAGTTTGTTGTCAATTCACAATTACACTAATGTTAATGGGGAAAAGATCAGCGGGCATTGTTCTTGAAGATCGCTAGTCAGGTGTCCACACAGGTGTGTAAAAAAATAAAGTCTCATCTTAACATAATGTCCGACTCTGTATAGCTCGAATATCTGATTCCATGATCACACTACTAGTGCTTTCACGGATTTAAGAGGGGTGAACACAGTTCATTCTCACTTTAAGATAGTCATATTTAAAATTAAATAAATAAAATAATCTAATTTAACGTGACTAATGTTAAATAATACTTTAAGGCTTTTAACACGTATAAATCCACTTCTAACTTACAGACAAGATTGCGTTAGAGAACATGAAAGCTGTGGGTGATTTTTTTAAAAAATAATGCTAATGATAAGTTACTTATATATGGTCTGCATAAAACAAAGTAATCACTAAGCATTCATTTTTGGCAAAATCTGCAGAGAGGCTCAGCGACATGAGGAAATGTGTTAAAGTTGAGTAGAGAACTAAAGAGCAGTCTAGCCTACTTCATGAAATGTTTGTGGTAATATTCTGCTGTCAATTCATATTGCTGTATTTCAATATGCAGCAGTGATGGCATGTCAGCGAAACAAATAAACATTTTATCGAGTCATTTCATACAATTTATTTATTTATTTATTTTTTATACGAACACCTCTCCAGTGACATTTCCTCAAACTAAATCATCATAACGTTACTGTGCACAGCATCAGTAAAACGTTTAGAATGTTTTAAATACTTAATTTTTTTAAAACAGTCACTGCCGATTACAAACTAACATTAAAGCTAAGCTTACAAAAATCCTGTATGCATGACAATATAAAGATGTATTACTCACTGATGTCGAAGCACTTCAAGGTCATCAGAGATGTAGACAGGACAGAATATGTGCTATAAAATGAGCTCTTGTGCAGCCTTTGTTGGACATCCAGGTAGTATGTTCACCCACACTGTAAGAAACAAAAACAATTTATTAAAATGTGAGGGATAGTAAACATGTTTGGTCTACAGAGAGAAGAAAATGTTTACTTTAAGCATTGATCCTAATGAATCTATTTCTGAACTACATTTAACCTTATCACGGAAACAGCATTTTTGAGCTTTTAGACCAGGGGTGCTCAACCTTGTTTGCTTTAAATTAGAATTAAAACAATAAATCTCTATGTCAAATAAAATACTTCAGATCTAAATAAAGTAGGTGTTTTTACCTAAAGGTTCCTTCCCTCCAGTTAGTTTGGCTGCAAATCCCTCCACATCTGTGCTTTATTCGGTTCTTGTCTTAAGAGTAACTGGTGTCGCATTCCAGGTCCATCACAATCTGGGCTAGAAGGACAATATGACAAAAGACAAGACACATGTAAATAAAAGTCTCAGAATAAAATATTTAAAGGAATAGTTTACTATTTTGCCACTATTTACTCCACGTGTTTTAAACTAGTTTGAATTTCTGTTAAAAACTAAAGCAGATATTTTGAAGAATGTTAGTAACCAGTAACTATTGACATCCATGTTTAAACCAAATTTCTTTAAAAAATATGAGTTTGTGTTCAACGGAACAAAATAAATATATAACTATTTTGAAACTATTTTGGAGGATGCCAAAGATGCTATTATTTTCATTTTTGGGTTAACTGTCCCTTCAATTCAAGTGTCAAGCAATAGTCATAAAAACTGATGTGTCGCTTGAGGAAAACTAAATCAAGTACCTTCTGTGAACAAGCAGAATCATTATGCCATTGTATTCAGTGATTCTCTTTTACATTTTCCCACTATGAAACGATAGCTTCAACATGCAATCCATGTTAAGACAAAAATGAATAGCATAAAATAAACTAACAGTTTCCAGGCTGTTTGAAAAAAACAAAACACATATGCCCAGTAAAATTGCTAATAAACACAAAGACAACAGTTATAGAAAAAAATGTTTGTCTAATATTTACTCAGGACTTGGTAGGCAAATAGCATAGCCGTGGCTGTTTTAACACCAGATTTTTTTATCTTAGGAACTGCTGGAAGAAGAAAAAGAGGTTGTACATGAACCTCCTCACAACAAATCTGTGAACAACTTGACATTTAAAAATTTAATCAAAATGAGGAAGACATCAACATTACCTTGAATAATCAAGTGAGGAGTGATTGGTAGCATCAGTTTTTCAACATCAATTACTGTAGCTGAAAAACAGATAAATATAATAAGAGTAAAATAAGACTTAACATTAATTAATCTAAATCTATGGTACAACCATACCAATCTGTATGGGGTTAAAATACATTTGTACACAAATCATTCCCTGACCCCATCAATTTCTCTGAGAATAGGATGGATATATATATATATATATATATATATATATATATATATATATATATATATATATATATATATATATATATATATATATATATATATATATATATAGAACGTACACTCACCTCAGGTACACCTGAACACCAAAAATTAAATGTACAATTAATGACACACTATACATCAAGCTCATTAACATTACTGAGAAATAGACAATTAATATGTATTTTGTTAATATTAACTTTAGCTTAAAATAATTCAACTGAATTTAATTTTCAGCTCCATTTAATAAAACAGTTAAGACTCATTTCATTGAGTTTAGTTTAAATAACTAACTTGCAGTTGAAAAATTTTACCATAATGATAGCTTTGTCATAATGACTATGTGAAGACTAGAGCTTACCTTGACGGTAAACGTTTAACTTTTCATGGTGACTTCGCCTTCATCTCAGTGTTCTGCTGAAATAGAGAATTCATTAATGCAGTTACAATAAGTTAAAGTTATGTTTTTTCAGGTAACTTAGCGTATGGTCAAAAACTCACTCAAGATAAACTCACTGTATCTAATACCTCGCAAACACTACAATGACCGCCTGGCGTCTGTTATTTCTTGTTTAAAATACCATTTGTTAACAGACAGCGTGATAAAACATAAGAACCTAACGTTACAAATAATGTCACTTGGTTAATTCTTTTAAATTACACACTCAATACACAGAAATATATACAAAACAATCCTTCAACGGACAGAATTTGACTTTAAAACACTTACCAAGGATGAATTCGCTGGATGAAAGACGACAGGTGAATTTTAAATTAGGAGAGCCGTTGCCTTCAGGTCGAGTCGTGTCCGTTCGGTTCTATGAATCGGCTCCTTAGTGAACAGTAAAGATTTGAATCCGCCTAAAACCGATTCCTTTTTGTATATGATTCATTACTATTTCGTTATACTGCTTGGCCACACGCATTTATACACTAATTATACACTAATTGCATATTGCTGAATGTGCACGTGTGATCAAATAATTCCCGAGCAAATGGTTCAATACGATTCAGAGTCGCTCGAGTGCTGAACCGAACCAGTGCAAACGTGATATTGATTACAATATAGTAACATTGTTTTTTATTCACTTTACCAGCGAAAATATTACATATATCTGACCTTGACAATAAGAATAAAGTTCGTTTGAAGTGTTTTGAGAATTAATATGTTTTTTCTCCCAGAATTCATTTCACATCAACAAGCAAATGGTAATGGCGGATGAGAAAGTCCAGCTAATATTATAAATTTTGCGTTTAATATGTCACGAAATGAAATTTTAACAGTGTTTCATGCGAGAATGTAGTTCCTACAAACTCAAATCTGTGGTTTAT